GGAGAATTAGTCTTAATGGTTGTGAATGTTGTTGGGCTATGCGATTAAGTCCTCGGCTCACCGTCCGTTGACTTGGATGAACCTATGCTAAGCTTTCGTCTGTACCGCCGTGACAGACATCGTGAGAATGAGAAATAGCGCTCCAATATTCTAAAATAAATGTAGCCTGTCCTATTCTTTGCAGAAATCAACTGTTTTCACTCCAAAGCTGAGGACCAATTCGCGAATATATGCGAAGAAAAGTTGGGTTTCGAGAAATATCTTGTTTCATAATTGTTGAGCTTACTTCAATTTTGAGTGAAAGTGTCGGGTGAAGAGATAAGAAGGTCGGTTCCGCCGTCGTCTTCTGTTGGTACCGACTTTCACTCGAAATAAAAGTAAGCTAAACAATTCGCGAATGCCTCGAATCATCCTTTACTTCGAATCATGTGATAATCCCTGACAAGATAATTGGTTATGCTGAATCAGAGCTCTACTAAATTGTGCAGAATAGGATTTCTCTTTTCTTTACTTGATGCATTTTCCAGTTTTATGCTTTATCATGCTTTTCTTCATATCATTCTATCCATTTTTCAACCGTCACTTCGTTTCAGTGATTCTCAAAACGATAGTTCAATTGATCCTCCAGTCTCAGCAGAACTCTGAGCTTCTTTTGGTCCGACAGACGTTTCTCCGACATCTCACGGCTCTGTGCACGCGAAGCCCCGACAACAGAAGGTACTGCACACGCCCACTTTCCATCCACCAAACGCCAAAAGCAGGCTTTTTGCGCTGACCAGCCACCTTTCACGTTTCCTTTTGCACCCACCCTCTTTTTTTCGCTACAGAATCATCCTTCAGATGTCCGTCTGGCAGGACTGGCTGCTTGGCCTGGCTCCGGTCTATCCGCAGCACGGCTCCGATGCCGCCTGCCTGGCCGACGTGGTTCGTCTGCTCTGCTGCCTTCTGCAACACGCTCTGCGGCGCGAATACGGCGGCTGGCGGGTCTGGATCGACACTCTGGCCATTCTACATGCTCGGGCGTCCCGCGAGTTGGCCGGCCGGCGCTTGTCCGCCGCGGCTGCCATGGCCACGATGACGTCGGACGCCGGACTTGTCGCGAGTAGACCCGCCTGCCAGGCTCTAGCCAACGGGGGCCGACGAGGGACGGTGGGTTTTTGTCACTTTGAGGCACTTTTCACTCCATCTCGACACAGAATCACCCAGACTGGTTGATATAGATTTCGTTGTCATGCTGGCTTACAAACAGTTGCTAAAGAAAAGCGTATCAGGAGTATTTACCCTGTTTTCGGTTAAAATGATAAAGGACAAATAGCTGAATCTTCCCACAATCAAATGGGTAGGTCTCCTGATTCCATTGAATTTCATAAATAACCTCGCTTCCCAAAATATATTCTCATCCCGGCTGGAGTGGATTCTAGTTTCGACCATCGCTCCCAACGGGACTCGAAGCCGGTTTGTCGATGAAGCCAAGTTGTATTTGCAGTAATGGTCGATTAGAGAAGTAATTTTTATTATAGAATTAGGTTTTCGAGACTATTACTATGGCATGTACATAGTCTTAGAGACGTATTCACCCTATTTACCCAAGAGTCCTTGACAATCTTAAACGAAATAGAGTGAATCTAGTTTTCACTCTCATATCAGAACTCTGGATACTCTTAAAATAATCTACTTATATACGTAATACAAGTAGTGCATTCGATTGCTATAGCAGTTTCGACCATCCCTTAGCTGGTTTCTTTTGTACTCTCAACGGGACTCGAAACTAGGTTGTAGATGAAGCAAAGTTGTATTGGCTATAACAATCGATTGCATTATTTATTTTTATTTTAGAATTTAGTTTGTGAGACTATTAGTATAGCACGTATATGGTATTCGCCCTATTAAACTACGAGTCTCTCACCGTAGAATGAATACAACTCTCATGTCACATCTACGTGTAGTCTATAAAACCTACTTATAAATGTAATATAAGTAGTGCGTTTGATTGCTAAAGAAAATACAGCTTTGTTTCATCGAATGTCATATGGGAAAACGCCTAGTCTTCGTTGAAAGTCACATCTGCCCTGTGATCCAAAGGCATTCGTGACAATCTGGCTTAGTGTTTTAAGTGTTGGGACCACACACGGCACTAGCACACCCCCATGTTCGAGTCCCGCCGGAGGTGCCGATGAGACCAGTGGAGGCGAGGTCGAAACTGCAGTCCACTCTAGCCTGGATAAGATTACCTTTTGGGAAGCAAGATTGTGTGAAGTCCTGTGTGTCTATTCATATGATTGTGGGAAGATTCAACTACCAGTCCTCAATCAGCTCAGACGAAAGCCTACTTATAAAACGAAAAAAGTAAATCAATTTTCTTGTGAGGCTCCTTTGCCTCGCATGCATTTCCATGTGTATACAATCATCTAAAATTAAACCAATCTAATAAGTAAATTTGTCAGGCAGATCAGCTTTAGGGATAAGAGTGGACTAAAGGATTTTTCAGACAATCATTTGTTTTTTGTGAGGTCCGTCTGTGTACCTCATCTCACTCTGACGATTTCGGTCATCATTTATTTAAAGAAGCCTCAGATACATCTAGTGAGATACTTGAAGAGCTAGTATGCTGCAGTCGATGAACTAAATTATTTCTCTTTTGCTAAGATGGGACCAG